CAGGGCTCAGGGTCGGGGGGTCTCACTGGACCACCTTGATTTTCATGCACACCTGCTCCTGGGTGGCCAGGATGGCAGCTCTCCTGCCCTAGACGGCCACTTTCCTGTGCCTAGTGCGGAGATCGTGGACGAGGACTAGCTTGTTCGAACTAGGCTTAATCCTCGTAAAATGAGGTTTTCCTAGTTCGAACTAAGCGCTCCGCTAGTTTGATTTAATTTCGAACTAGCGGAGCGCTAGTGTAGCGCCTATTAAATTTAATTCAAACTAACGTCTGTTAGTTTGAATGAACTTTGTAGTGTAGACATACCCCAAGAGACAAGCTGGGAGAACAGAGCAAGCTAGAGCCATGTAGCTTTGCTTGCCCTGCTGCTCCCACTGAGTGCGGGGGGGATGGGGAGAAGGGGGAGTTCCCTGATGCAAGTGCCAGCCCCCTCCTCCCTACTAGCTCCTGAGGCTCTGATGGCTGCTCACCAGCCCCTTTCCCCTTCCCTGGTTACCAGGGAAACCAGACCTGAGATTAGGTACTACTGATGGCATCAGATCATTGGAGCTCAACGTGAGGAAAAGTCTGCTAGGCCATACCAGCTCTCAGGAAAAGGGATCCGTTTGTAAACTGACTGTCTGTCTTCAGTTTCTTTACCATCGTGACTTTATATCTATAAATATATCTGCCAACACGTGGAGGAGAAAAAGATGAGCTATGCTGAGCAGGAAAAGGGAGAGAAATCTGCATATAACATGAACTCACCAAAGGGCTGGAAGAAAATTCAGAGCTACAATGTCACTACCGAGAGAGAGACAGAGACAGAGACAGAGACAGAGACAGAGACAGAGTGTGTGTGTGTGTGTGTGTGTGTGTGTGTGTGTGTGTGTGTGTGTGTGTGTGTGTGTGTGTGTGTTTTCACACATCCATGCAGGACTCTGCCTGTGTGTTTAACTGTGGCCCTGTCTACACTAGGGGATTTGAGCAAAATCAGTCTCCCTGGCACTCCCACTGGTTAAACTGCCTTGAAGCTGTGGAGGCCCTAGTCGAGACAAGTTTCAGGGGGCTCCTGCAGATTTTACCACAATGTCATTAAACCAGCTGAGGGCCAAAAATGCTCACCCCCTTCACTGTGCTAGTACTCCTGAACATGGATTTAGCTGATCTCTCCCACTGCTGCCTCAACCTTACCGGGGTGGGGGGAAGGAGGAAGGAGGTTTAGGGGCACCCATTTCCGTGGGGTGCCGAGCAACCTCAGCTCCTCTGCAGATGTGATAGTACCAACCGCAACGCGGACACTCTTGGTGCAGGAAAGGAAAAGAACCGCCAGCTCAGTGAGTGGGTGGGAACTTCTCCAGCTCAGAAACAGGGAATTTTCCAGGCTAGGTGTGAAAGGTATAGAGGAGGAACTAAGTCCCACAAGGAGAGGCCCAGGGCCAACGGGAGGAGCAAGGGGAGATGTATTACTCTGTACAAGGGTGGTTCTGGGCATTTCCAGGGGCCAGCCATTGCAAACACATGAGTGACACGGGCTGGCTACACAGGAATCTCAGAATGGAGGCCCCCACCTAGCACTTGGAGTCGGCAGCTTTGGCTTCCCTGTAACATTTGGTAATTTGCACTGCCCCGCCCGCGTAGGCTGGTGTCGAGGAATACTGTCACCTCCAAGCCCATTCCCCCTGGCCCGTCCTGAACACAACAACAGCGGGATACTGACCCTCCTTGCACTCTAGGGCCACCCGAGACTCCAGGTTGTCCATCTGCATCTGGAGCCTCTTGAGGGTGAGGTCATTCTCCCGGGACTTGCGCTTGTACGCGATGAGGACGATGATGACAATGATGAGCAGCAGGCTCCCTCCCGCCGCAATGCTGACGATGGCGGGCAAGGTCAGCAGGCTGTCCGAGATCACGTTCACCGAGCCAGGGGAGAAGACGATGCCGCCCACGTGTACCTAGCCAAGCAAAACACAAGGGGGCTCAGCCAGCGGGCTCTGCTTGTGGTGATCAGATGAGGGACATTTCAGAGACATTGGCCTCTCTCCATCTCTTCTGTCATGTGCTCTCTCGACAGCTCCCTTCACCACAGTGTGCAGGTACCCTGTTTCCTCCCACTGCCCCAGTTTCTGTCTTGCATGGTCAGTTCTAGTGTCTGCATGACCCAACATACAAGTGTTGCAAATGCAGCATGGTGCTTTCTCCAGTACCTCACTCTATCCCTAGGTTACACTGCTCCTTGCTGATACCTGGTGGAACATCTCTGCTCCTTGCTTACAGGCTGAAGAACTCTCTTCTCATGTATTCCACAACATTTGGGAGCAGGGATGTGAAAGGTTAATTGGTTAACCAGTGGGGGCTGGAGCAGCTCCCAGCCCGCTGTGGGAAGAGGGATAATCCAGCTGTGTGGGACCTGCCATGGATGGGCTGCGCCAGACCTGGTGTAGCCTCTGTCTATGACAAGTGTGGATGCCCTGCAGGCAGAGGTCGCTCTGGCTGGGCTGGAGCAGCTCCTGTCTGCGGTGGGGGGGATGCTTCCGTCCAGCAGCGGATGGGGGGGCTACTCCAACCTAGTCAGATTGCCCCCCCCCCAGCCTTTAATCGGTTAACTGGTTAAACAATTAAATGGGATTTTGCATGGCTATGCTGGAGTAGACAATGTCCTTCCATTTTCATAGAATCATAGAATACTAGGACTGGAAGGGACCTCGAGAGGTCATCGAGTCCAGCCCCCCGCCCTCAAGGCAGGGCCAAATACTGTCTAGACCATCCCTGCTAGACATTTATCTAACCTACTCTTCAATATCTCCAGAGATGGAGATTCCACAACCTCCTTGGGCAATTTATTCCAGTGTTTGACTACCCTGACAGTTAGGAACTTTTTCCTACTGTCCAACCTAAACCTCCCTTGCTGCAGTTTAAGCCCATTGCTTCTTGTTCTATCCTCAGAGGCCAAGATGAACAAGTTTTCTCCCTCCTCCTTATGACACCCTTTTAGATACCTGAAAACTGCTATCATGTCCCCCCTCAATCTTCTCTTTTCTAAACTAAATTTTAGTCTCTTCTCTGTCATACTGGAGATTATTCTATTCCTCTCTGGGTTTGGATTGTGCTTTCTCCCCCCCCGATTTCCCATGTCTAGCTGAAGGTCAACTAATCATGCACTTGGAAAGACCGTATCTTCGTTCAGCACCTTTTACTGTGGTGAGGCTTCTGCTATGACACCAGCTTTGACCTCCCCTCCTGAAGGACACTGGATTCACCCTGTACCACTGCTCAGTCCTGACACAATCCCAGCGGCGCTACTGACCACGCTGTACTGTTCCTTCACCCACGCTGGGGAAACTGTGATTCCTGCCTAGTGGTTGTCTCAGCAGGAGAGAAGAGTCAGGAACAGGAAGCAATAATAGACTTTGAATAATTGGCACTTACTCTTCCTGCTCAGATGCAGGGTAGATTTTCTCTGCTCTCAAAGCTACCACCTTATTTATTGGTTAGGGAGATCATTCCTTAGGGTATGTCTAGACTACATTGTTTTTTTCAAAAAAACTGCCTTTTTTTCAAAAAAACTTCACCTCACTGTAATTGCGTTCTTTTGAAATTAAATTGTAAGAATGCAGGTTTTTTTCAATATTGGCAAACCTCAAATTACGAGGAACAATGCCTTTTTCGAGAGCTCTTTCGAAAAAAGGCGTGTGTGGATGCAGCACAAGGACATTTTTCAAAAGAAGAGGCAATCGAAAAAAGCACAGGTGCCCTGGTGGCCACTCAGTGAATAGCAATCAGGGCTTTTGAGAGCACGTCCATGCAGTCTGGATGCTCTCTTTTGAAAAATCAGATCGCTTTTTCAATCTGTTTTTGAGGTGTGGATACTCTCTTTCGAAAGAAGCTTGCAGTCTAGATGTACCCTTTCTCTGCGAAGATGCTGACATGGTAAACAGTCTGTCTCGGTTTCAACTAAGACCATACAAACACTGGCTGCCTTCAAAAAAAGGCTCTTTTGAAACACACAGATGGCTTCAGTTCATGATAAATACGTCAGCCTTTTGCTATCTCCGACTTTGTTCGTATTATCTGATGGTTCCATTTGACTTTCATTTCGCAGGCTTTCAATTCCCTTTTGTAAACTGCGGACATTAGAGACAGAGTGACAATCCCACTGGCAACGGAGCTAAAGGAAAACCAAGAAAGTGGGCTGGGTGAGAAGAGAAAAGAGAAGAGACTGTATCTGAAAGCTGTGGTAGAAACAGACTGGGGTTACAATGGGTTAGGTTTTTTTTTTAATGTGCCAAGGCCTCAGATATAAGCAACTGTCAGCAAGGATGCTCTAGTGTGAATTACACTGTGATGTTTCAAATATGTTTTGGTTGCTGAACTTGGGAAAAAAATTACAATTAAAGGCTCATTCGAATTCTACCCAGACACTTCAGCAGCTGCCCACTTGGTCGCTGACTGCATTGGAGAGAAGTAACACTGCCTAATACTGAAGTAAATGAAAACCCGGAAGCTGCCATGTGGGATCAGATGCTAGCCCATCACATTCAGTACTCAGCAGTGGCCAATCTCTGATGCTTCAGGAAAATGCAAAAGGCCCCTTAATACACCTGGCCAATTGTACCATGCTGGGCACAGAAGCCAAATTCCTTCCTGACCCTTGCAGGGGTTACAGGAAATTCTCTCTCATCTTACAGAATGAACAATAGATAAAGAACAGTGAATAGAATAGAATACCTGGTATTGATGTCCTGCTGACAAATATTTGAGTTTCCTGGAATCTATAGCAAGCACTGAGAGTAGAGGGGGAAATCTCTTGTGAGCGCCTGGAGATTTCCTCCTTTCTATTCCACAGTGATACTTAACTTCCCATTAAACAGCCACAAAAGGAGGTAAATCGGATTCCTGACAACTCTAGGAGAAACGGCACGTAGCTGCCACAGTGAGGCCAAGGAAGGAAGGAAGGGAAGATTAGATACATAGATATATAAGGTAGATAGCTGCTGTGTTTTAATCTCACCATAACTTTGTGCTGCCCGGTGAGGTTGGGGGGCTCACACAGCAGCTGGGTCTCAGACACAGTAACAGCGCAGGGGGTATCTCCAATTAGGACAGTATAGTTGAGCTTTGCTCCTCCTGAAGCAGGTGGGCACAGATTTTTGCCCTATTGACAAAGACAGAGAAAACTGCATAAAGATTCAGCACATGCAGCCATTACTTACCTGCCATTTATGCTCATGGCTTTCATGCACTTTGGAAGGAAGGAAAGGGGTGACACCCACACGAATTTCCACTGGTTAGTCTGTTTCAGAAAAAACAATGAGGAGGCACCTTAAAGCGTAACAAATGTATTTGGGGATAAGCTTTCATAGGCTGGAGCCTAAAGGTGGGTTCCTGCCTACAAAAAGTGATGCTCAAACGAATTTGCTAGTCTTTAAGGTGTCACAGGAGTCCTCGTTTTTTCATTGCTAAAACTTGTTGTTCAGGAGGGTGTTTTTGTACAGCACCGAGTGACATCAGTTGTAGTAATAAAAGTGAAAGTGTAGACACAGCCCTAACCCTGTTGCATTGCTGTGTTTCAGGCCTGGTGTGTACTTTCAGTTGGTATAACTAGGTTAGATAAAGATGTGATTTTCTTTTTAACTGGGAAAAGCTATAATGTTGACACCCTTATACGAGTGTAAGATGGCATGGCTTATTTTGCTTTGCTAAAGCAGAATAAGCTATACTGATATAGTCACTTATATACTGGTATAATGATGCCCACACTAGGCATTTAGTGTGCCAAAAATTCCCCTCATTTTTATGCTACCACGGTTAAACCACAAAACTTTGAAATGTAGACAAAACCTCAGATTTGTGAGAGCCTCAAGTTAATAAAACTATGTGGTACAGCAAGGACATGATTTTTTTATGACACCACTATTCTGGAAAAAGCCTTAGTGAAGTTATACCAGCAAAAAAGTACTTTTGACCATATAGCTTATTTCATTCAAGGATATGGTATAAATTATACCTGCAAAAGAACTCCTGGGTCTATGCTAGGAGGGTGTGCCAGTACAGTTTGCCACCAACTTTTTCCTAGTGTAGACTAGGTCTCAGAATGTGGGCAACTAAGTTACTTAGACAAAATTCTCTGGGCTTGGGGAAGTTTTTACCTCTTCTTCACTTAGCAGATCATAAATTGATGGCACCACACTCAGTAAGAAATGCTTTACATAGTTATAATACCGGTCAGCCCAAGGGGCTTTACACAGCACCACACCAATGGCGCCATGTCTTCAGGGAATGTGCTGCCAGCTTATGTGTAGCATCCTGTGCAACAGGGAAAGGGAGGGGCAGTTTGGCCTTTAACACAAGAACAAACCCTTGCTCACACAGTGCCAGAGGTCGATATTCTGGCATTCGATTTAGTGGGTCTAGTATAGATCTGTAAATTGAATGCCTACTCCTGGCAGTCACGAGGAGTAAGGCAAGCCGATGGGAGCATTTACTCCGGTTGGCCTCCTGCTCTGTGGATGCTGCCAAGATCGGCTTAAGGTAAGCCGACTCCAGCAATGTATTCTACGTAGCTGGAGTAGCGTACCTTAAGCTGAGCTGGCCTAAAAGTGCTGTGGGGGTCTTCGCTGTGGCATTTGTTAAGGACTCATCTGAAAGACTCCCGGAGTACAGTGCATTTACATACTTGGGAAGGATGAAGGACAGTCAACGTACAACGTCAGGGACCCTGTGTACTTCAAACCTTCTCTTCCCCTCTCTGAGTTTGCCCACTGATTAGCAATTACAGGCTATAGCCAAGTTCAGTTTTGCATTTCAGGTCTATCACAAGGTCTTAATCTACAACCCTCTTCTGGGGCTTAGACTTCACTCTCTCTCATGCCACCCATTTCCCATTGCAGTGCAGGCGGCTTTTGGAATTAATAAGAGAGCAGCTGAATTATGCAAATGACTGGAACACCACATCCAGCATTCATACCTTGAGAATGATAGGCGATCCTGGCTTCTGATCCAAAACCCCAGTAGAGCTGAGAAGTTCAAATGTTGGGTTTGGATAGTAAATAAACTTAGTGTCATTATAGATGAGCAGAGATTGCACGTTGTTAAAGACAAAACCAAATTCGTCCGGTCGCTCGACAGCATCCAAGCCAGGTCTGTACTCAGAAGTGAGGGGTGGGGCTAAGCAAGTCAGGGTCGTTGTATTCACAATCTTACAGACCTGGACAGCAAAGGAAAATGAGAAGAAGATTAACACTTAGAATAAGAAATCTCCTTCACTGTCTGATCTTTTCCCAGACAGAACACCCAGCGGCAAATTAACTGACTTCCATACAGTTACACTTATGTAGTTTTGGTCCACTATACAGTTACTTGCTAAAAGTCTTTTAAAACATGTACACCAGAGCCCCATCAGACTGGAAGATAGCTAATCTCCAAATCCAACCCATCTGAAACAGGCCATTGTCAGACTTGTTTACTGGCCTCTGTTCAAAACAGCTGAAGTCCTATATCTAGTGGGACAGGTGCCCTCAGCATAAAAGCTACCATTATGGTTGCTGGCCTCAGCAGAGGATATGGGAGGTAAGCTTTCTCCTCTGTCTAGAGCTGGTCTTTCCAGGGCAGGACAGAGACCTGTAGTTAGAGGGACAACATATGGGAAGCTGGGAAGTGTCCAGAGGGGTATGCATTACATGGGAAGGACCATAGTTCTAATCCACTGGCAATAATGTAAAGCGCCACCGAAGCTAATCAGTACAACTGACAGCTTCCCTCCCACACCATGGAGTTTCAAGATCTTAATAAAGCTCCTTGCAGACACTCTCTCTTGTGCTGATCTGAATCTCAAGTTGTAACCATTGCTGTAAAAGCACGGCACGCAGTAGCTGCAAAAAGTGTTTCAGCTGCATCTGTCTAACTTCCGTCTCTCCCTCCACAACCTGGCATGAAGGAAAGAGGACAGGAGAGTAGAATTTGCCTTTGTGCTGAGCCTTTGAAGCCCTGATATCTTTTTTTTTTTAATTTTACAATGCAGTGAGTTAAGGACTCAAGACCAAATTTAGAGAGGCCTGGGTCTCCCCTAGTGTGAGTGTAAGTGGGTGTTACTGACATGTTGAGGGTGGGAAGTGAAGGGTGATAGCAGGAAAAACAAACCATAAGAGGCAAAAGTGGTGCTCATCAAACCACATTCATTCCCTCCCCTCCCTTCCCACACAAGTTAAGACAATATAGTGAAGGGGAGGTCGCTAATTTCTCAAGGAAACCTTATTTGGAATGTTTGTCTATAAAAGTTACTCTTACCGGCTAAAAGGTGAGAGGAGCAAGTTAAAGGAGAGGCTGCCCCCCTGCAACTTAAAAACCAAAAAGACAGTGTGCATCCACTGCACCTGAGACCAGTGGTAGGCAATCCTGTGGCCCACGGGCCACATGCGACCCACTGGGTTCTACCTGCAGCCCACTGGGTTCTACACGTGGCCCGTGGCCCCCTCTCTGTTCCCTTTCCCCAGGCACCTCTCATGCACTGCGGCACCAGAGCCCCGCACTTACTTATTTCTCACCCTTCCTCTTAGCACTTTTGGAACGCTGTGAATCAGCTGTTCCAGCTCAGGGAAGGAGGGGGGACAGAATGCAAATCAGGCAATTTGTGGTGCTCCAGAAGTGCTAGGAGGGAGGGGAGAAGTAGGAAGTGCAGGGCTCCCCCAGTGCATGAGGCAGACGGGGGTCCACAGATGGAATCCCAGTGGGCCATGGGCTGCTGGAGCCCACTGACATGAAGGAGGGCCACTCATGCAGCCCCCTCACTGTTCTTGGTTGCCCATTGCTGCCTTAGGTTGTGTTATTTGTCTTCACACTGTATTGAGTCAGTACCTGAGGAGGAAAGGAACACCAAAGGCTGTGTGCAGTTACGTGCGTTATGTAGAATTTTGCAGTCTGTCTTCCAAACCAGGACTGAATTCCCAGCATAGCTCTGGGGTGGGTTACAGGAGGTAAGTTCCATTAGGTGTAATACAAAAACAGGGTTCTAATCCCTTCTGGTCATTAATGTTTCTAATGGCACTAAGGCCTTATCTATACTTACATGGAGATTGATGTGGTGGCGATCAATCTTCCAGGGTTTGATTTAGTGGGTCTAGTAAAGACCTGATAAATTGAATGCTGATGGTGCCCCCATCGACCCCGGTTCTCCACGGCAGAAATTTGGTTTATAGTATGTCAACTCCAGCTATGCAATTCTTGTAGCTGGAGTTGTATTTCTTAAGTCGCGTTTCTGGCGTAGTGTAGATCTGGCCTAAGTTACAGGGGCTCTCGTATATTAGCAAAATTCTGACATGACGAATAGCATTCCGCCTTTCTAAATTCCCTCTGCAGATTCTGCTGTATTGGTATTTAGCCAAAATCATCAGCTTAAGCTTGAATCATGATAGTCTTGTTTTTGGGAGAGTTTGTGTGTCCTTCTCAACCAGCACAAGGACACAAGAGCAGAGCCAGAGCCAGAGCTTCAAATTTGAAAATTGCCTAAGCAACGAAAGAATCACAAACCAGATTGCTATGTACTTTTTTTTCCTCTTCTGTTGCACTGTATCTGCCAACCATGCCTTTGAAAGGGACCCATAATTAATGTCTGGTCTTGGCTACACATTTGTGATCAGAGACAATCTTCTAATACCAAAGGGACAGAAGAACAATCAACCAATATTGAAGGATTCTAGATAAAATGAAGGTCGACTCCTTTGGGCTGAGAATACCCACTGCTCCCCCTCCCTAGGGGGAAGAGTTTGTTTGGAAACAGAGCATAGCTTTCTCTGCTAATTTATTTAGAAATCAGGCCCTAAGCTTCGGGAGATGTTTAATTTGGCCTCCCTCCACAAACAGACAATTTAAATCCACTCAGATTTGTGTATTTAGAATTCTCTTTGTAACAATAATAAATTAATGAAAAGAAAAGCAGAGCTCCGAGGTGAACAAGGGGAAAGGGAAAAGGAATGACTGCTAAGTAATTAACTCTTTCCAGGGTAGCACTCTACAAGTTTAGTCTTTTGCAACATGGAAAGAGTATTCTCAGGTTCCATTGGTGATAAATGTTAAAGTGAGCATACATCTCACTACAGAGTGCATGGGCACTACCTAGACACTAGTAACCCAGGAGTTTGCTTCAGCCCAGCTTTCTTGTCTTGGAAAGGGTTAAATTAATGTTAGGTGCTATTTCTTCAGCCACAGGGAGGGCAGAGTTGCGGTCTGGGTCTCGAGATCTAGATTCAGTTCCCAGCTCTGCCGCAGACCCGCTGTGTGTTCTTGAGCAATTCACTTGATAGACACAGTGCCCCGGCTCGCCACTTCTGAAATGGGGAAGATACATCCTCACCTCACAGGGGTCTTGAAAGAATAAAATCTGTTAACAATTGTGAATTGCTCTGACATGAAAGGGAGGTGGAGGATAATGAACCAAGCAAATACGCTAACAAGCAGAGGACAACTTTTCTTGCTGTATTTCAGCTATTCCAGGTAAGGCTGGAATTGTGTGCAGGAAAACGGAAGGGGAGCAGGGAGACAAGCAGCTGTCCCTCTTGCCTACATATCTGAACACTGTAAAAGGTTATAAGCAATTGAGTGTGGGCTCAGCTGTAGCTTTAGGTGCATGATCAAGGATGTAAACAATTTCTTTTAATGATGCTCACGGACTGAGAACCACTGCGCTACTGCCTGGTCTTATGCCATTCCCACTAGCCCTGCTTCAATCATTTTAGCAAAGAGAAATTTCCTCCCCAACACAGTGGAATTAAGAGACTCCCGATCTATTCACAGAACACCTAATCGAGACAGGCCTGTTCTCTTCTCTACATCCGACATTCCTTCCACTATCCCTACAAAATCTGAAACACCTCCCTTCTTAAAATCAGGCTGCTAAGGCTGAGCTGTGAGTTTCTCTGTGCTGAGCAGATCTACAAAATCATTTTGCTTTTGAGGGAACGCAATACTGTTTCCATGCAGAATGGCTCTTGAAAATCACTAAATAATAATAATAAACTGGATTTTTACTGCCTGCTGGGCGCCTCATGTAACATGAAACAAGCTCATAAAACATCAAATGCACAACAGCTCAGACAAATAAAACTGGACAAGATAAATGATAATCATCAATAATGATGTGGCGTCACAGTAGCACAAAGGCCATCACCAGGCTGGATGACATTATTCGAACTTTTCCCGCTGTCGAAAAACGCGGAAATGTTTTGCTCAACCCAAGAACTAAAAAAATCAGCTATCTGCCTGCGTGATAACCTGGGACTCGTCCTGTGCAGAAGCCCAGTAAGAGTTTTATCCATGCTTCCTTTGCAAGTTCCTAGGGAGGAAACCTTTACTCAATTTGCTCTCAAGGCAGTCACGAGAATAAAGGCCATCAAGCAGCTCAGCCAGTTATCAACCTGCTTCTGTGGGCAGTAGGCTAAAGAGTGGAGGTTCATCCAGTTTTTAGGGCAAGAGAAGGGAATGAAAGGGTCTAGTCTAGCTGAAGAACAGCCCTGCGCACTTGGCAACCGTGCAGCAGCCTGGGTATGCTGCCAGCTGTGCTGCTGAGTGTGCCTGGGGAGAATACAATTTGCACAGTCTGGGCCCAAAGAAAAAAAGATTACAGCTCTGTTTATTGACTTCCTAACTTGCCATGGCGGTTTATGAAGTGTGGGACAAATGGTTTAAATAAGGGGCTCCGTTAGAGCTAACAAGGAAAAAGGCATAAAGAGAAGTCTGGGGAAATACAGGCAGCCCCAGGCATGCAAGTCTTTAAAGCAACGGAGGGCAACCTGCGATCCGAGGGCTGCACATTTGGCCCCTGAGACACTGTGTTTACTGTTGCCCAGGTGCAGGGATGCCAGATTCCGCTGGTTTTCTGTCTGTGCATTTTTTCCCCTACAAGTGTTATTAAAGCAACAGGCACGTAAAGCCAGGGTATGCGAAGGGAGGTGGGTGCGCATTGACTGGGAGAGCTGTGCGCTCCCTCTGCCTCCGATCACAGCGTGGCTACGGTTCCATCGGCACAACCCGCAAATTCTAGTACGCACGAGCAGCAAGCACAACTGCCCTATCCCAGGAGATGATCTTGGTTACAACAATCAGGTGGCCCACTCACTAGCCTAGGTTGCCCATCGCTGCCCTACAGAGCTGCAGTCCCGCCCATGAAATGGGTGCCTTTATTTCTACACACCAGCTCCCTTCTGCATATGACAATCTGGGGCTCTGCAGGTGTAACCCAAACACCTTCGGGTGTGGGTCACTGTCCCACGTAGTAGTACTGAGACCACTTACAATGACAAAGAATGAGTTTGCTTTACAGCTGTAGCTGAGGGCCAGCTGCTTTTAGCTCATGCTGTGGAGGCTCCTGCACTAAGCCCCACAGGTTCCAGGTCCAGTTCCCCTGTTGGCGTTATATAAGCACAAGGGACACAAGTGCGCACTTGTGTCACGCTGCAGAACCAGGCCTGCTGTGGCCTCGAAAAGCAAGGGCTGTTAGAGACACTTACTGCGGAAGTAGGAGCACCCCTTTTCCAGCTGCTCAGATTTCATTTCATTTCATAGGCGGGCAGGCATCTTTGCAGGGAAGCAACCTCTTCACTTATCTCCTGACTGGATCATTGCAGCAAGAGGGGAAAGCAACCTGAAAGCTTTTTGTTCAGTAGCAGATTCCCTCCCTCCCCGAGCTCCTAGCATGCTTGCTGGGCCCAGAGCTGCTATGATATGAGCTGTATTTATGTCTGGAGAGATACAGAGGGACTACTGAAAAAGAACCAACCCCACGCGGGCAATTTCTCACTGCAAACGTAGCTGTAGGCCTGCAGAAAAGGAGCAAGGCAAATGGAGCCGCTGGGAATTGATATCTGCGCTCTCTCGCTGCTAGAGGGGAGTCCCGGGGAGCCCCATGGCAGTGACATGCAGGGAGGAAGGAAGGCTCTCAGGCTAATGCATGGGGCTCCTTAAAGCATGGAAAAACCAGGGGTGATTTCAAACAGAAAACAAACTTGCGAAGCCCAGGGGAGGGATTAGACACTGACCTTGGGGAAATGGATCAAATGACCTAATCAGACTCTTCCACGTCTAGGTTCTGAGACGCCCTGGCAGTTCTGTGCCAGCCCGGGGCAGCCTCTGTACGGAACAGACTCCCCTGGGTCACGGCAGAAACCTTTTCCCATTGTCTGTGTGTCAAATTCCCCCTGTGCACTCGGCGCCCTCCCCTGCTGTTGGTTTTTGTGCGTCTCGGATGATATATAGCTGGGCCTCACAATGACACACACGCCATGTGTCTCCACAATCCCCGACTCCCTGCTGCTCCCCGGCATGAGGGGCCTCCCTGGCGTGAATTACTAACTCCTCCTCGGGATCCCCAACAATGCCCATCTGCAGCCCGGCCACCTTGCTCCTCCTAGGTCTATTCAAGAGCATGGGGCTAAAGTCATCAAGTGCAGAACTCCCAGGCCCTTTGCTGACCTCAGGAGCAGGCAGTCAGCTGCACAAAATCCAACTCGGGCCATGGAAGGCAGCTCCCTCTCTTCTGGAGCTGGTGCCTAGGACCCACAAGGGGGGGGGGGCTGGGGGGGCTGCGGTTATAGCTGTGAACATACCGGATTTGCATGCATTCAGCCAGCCTGCTTGCCAGATGGGGAGCTCAGCTAAAGAGTTAAATCAGTGTTAGCACCTGGGGTCCCCAGCTGGTAAACATAAACACTGGAGGGTCAAGTTGACCAGAGCACGGTCTCCCTCCCCTACTGACAGACCAAAGGCCATCTCAATTAATAACCTGTCCTGTCCACTCTGTATTACAACAGCATTGGGACAAAGTTTCCATCAACACTTACGCATTACAATTCACTGTCTCAGCCATTTCTACCTTCCCTAGGCAAACGAATTCATCACCCCGATGCCCCAGTATATAGTATCTTAATCTCTGATCACAGCGCCTTTTCGAAATCCAGTTAAACAAAACAAGCAAACAATTCAACTGGGACAGTTACAAATGGCAGAAGCTTGAAAACACCTAAGAGGCCTCTCAGAGTTTGAGGGGCTTATATTTAATTAGTCCTGCAATTCAAACGTACTGAAGAAAATCTGAGGAGCATTAACCAATAAAATGCTTGCTGGAAGCCAGCATTTATACAGGGCTGTCAGCATACACAGAGTTTCTCAGAAAGGGAGGGTGGATTTGACTGAGGGTAGGTTCTGAAAAGAATTCGCAGAAAGCCACATAAAAATATAAAATGCACCTTTTGGAGGCCTCTTTGGCACAGGGCACCAAGTCCTTTTCAGAGATACTTATTTATCCCAGGTCTAAAGAATTGCAGAGTTAATTTTCTACTAATGGGTCTGGGTACATCCAGGTAAAACACCCTGGCAGTGCCACTGAGTATGCCAGGAGCTACCAGGCTGGAGTCTCTCTCGCCAGACTGAATGTCTTAGGTATGGGTAGGTGGGATGCACCAGCTGTTCCGTATGTTCCAGGAAGGGATGTAAAACCCCAGTTAATCAGTTAACTGGTTAAACGTTAAGTTTGCTTAGCATTTAACCAGTTAACTGGCTAAATTGGGATCCCAGGCTGGGGTCTAAACCCAGCCTGCAGGGATCCCACCCCCAGCTCCGTGCAGGGACAGCTGCCGGCTCCCAGGTCCCAGCCTCTGTCTGCAGTGGACCTGCGGATGAAGGCTGCTCCAGTCGGGCACCCGGGCCCGCCGTGGACAGGGGCTGCACACAGCTTCGTGCCCACGGCAGTCAGGGAGCTGCTCGAGCCCCTCTGTTACCGGTTAACCGGAACCGGTAAGCATTGCCTGTGTAGGATGACGCTTACTGGTTAACCTTTTACATCCCTAGTTTCAGGGGGTTCTGAATGGGATGCAGCACCGGTGTCACTGACCATGCCAGAACAGAAAACAGGTGCTGTACTGTTGAGAAGGCCAGAGTGGTCGAGGCAGAATGCTCCTGCTTGGCTGCCCAGCCTGCTTACGTCACATTGGTTTCAACAGGGGATACGGATCTCAACAGGGCGAATGAGGAAACCAGCTGCACTCCAATGCCACCTACTTACATTGACAGACTCCTTGCCATTGTACTTCACACGGATCCTCGGCTCCTGAATCACATCCAGATTGGAGCCCGTGACGGTCAGAGGCGTGTGCCCGCTACAGAGAAGCAGAAAACACCAGATTAATGAGGTTTGGCAGGGAGAGCTACGGCAGCATCTAGCGACTGTGCTCCAACAACACGGATGCTTGATCTCAGAAAGATGTTTTCTGTGGACTCTACAGGAGCTAGGTGACATCATGGATTAATATACTATCCCTGATTCTCTGGGGAGGGATGTTTCTCCCGTTAATTGGATTTTCTGGTCTTGACTGTCCCCCAGTGGATAGTCCCCTCTTACATAACACTTCAAGGCTCGGCACAAACAAAAGCAGCAGGATGAAAAAACAAACAATCAGGACCAAGTAAATAAGGACAATAGATTAGTCACAGTGTTTAACGATTTATACAGCGAATCTTCTGATTAATAGAGGGCTGCACAAGGAATGGTATAGGCTCTGAAGGGATTGTTATTTTTCCCATTTCCAGATTGCAGCCACCTCAAGGGTTGGGCACAGAATCCCACATAGCAGAGGTTTGGCAGAATGGGGAGGTATCTGGTTAGCCCCATAGAATTTAGGGAAGCAGAATGTAATAAGCCAAGTTAGAATATGGCCATGATTCTGGTGCTAATACCTCCAAACTTTGCAAAAAGCACAACGGGATCTTTTATTCTTTGCTTTTCCTTCTGCTTTATTTGCTGGAGAGCCCCTCCAGCAGCCCAGCACCCACACGTCTCCAAAGAAAATGCCAGCTTTGTCTCTTATAACATCTCTACAATTATTCATATCAGCCCACGACATCCTTGGCATTGGAAAAGGTTCAGAAAAGGGCAACAAAAATGATGAGGGGTTTGGAACAGGTCCCATATGAAGAGATTAGAAAGACTGGGAATTTTCAGCTTAGAAAAGAGGAGACTAAGGGGGGATATGATAGAGGTCTATAAAATCATGACTGAGGTGGAAAAAGTGAATAAGGAACAGTTATGTACTTATTCCCATCATATAAGAACAAGGGGTCACCAAATGAAATTAATAGACAGCAGGCTTAAAACAAACAAAAGGAAGTTCTTCTTCACACAGAGCATAGTCAATCTGTGGAACTCCTTGCCAGAGGATGTGTAAAGACTAGGACTTTTACAGGATTCAAAAAAGAGCTAGATAGATTCATGGAGGTTAGGTCCATCAATGGCCATTAGCCAGGATGGATAGGAATGGTGTCCCTAGCCTCTGTTTGTCTGGAAGTGGGTGACAGGGGAGGGATCACATGAGGATTACCTGTTGTGTCCCCTTCCTCTGGGGCACCTGGCATTGGCCATGGTCGGCCGACAGGATACTGGGCTAGATGGACCTTTCTAAAAGGTTTGAAATCTAGAAGCCTCTGTCAATTGGCTGAGCCTCAGTCAGCGGGAGGGGCTACCAGAGCTATATAAGCCTGTGACTCAGCGACCAGGAACAGCTTACAGGAGAGTTTGGAGAAGGAGTTTAGAGGGCACTAGTGACTTCTGACATTCTTTAAAACATAACTCTTAGAATAATCTATATTCCAAAGGTTTAAAAAGAATCCCAGTTTATACTTAAACTTATTCATTAGAAAAATGGAGTCAGAAGCCCAGCAGCAGAGTGGGGGCTATCCTGTTTATTGTATAGAGTGTAACATGTATGATTATCTGCCCTGTGGGCGGGTGCCATATGTGTGCACCCGTTGCAAGGAGCTCCTGACCCTCAGAGATCGAGTTTGGGCTTTGGAGGCCAGGGTGGCTGAACTGGAGGAGCTAAGGGAGGTAGAGAGCTGTGTTGATGAGACTTTCCGGGACACTGTAGTACTGTCCCACCTCCAGTCTGAGAGCCCCAGTGCCTGCCCCTGTATAAAACTATGGTATGCCCACATCTTGAATACTGTGTACAGATGTGGTCTCCTCACCTCAAAAAAGATATTTTGGCCTTGGAAAGGGTTCAGAAAAGGGCAACTAAAATGATTAGGGGTTTGGAA